TGCGGTCACGGTTAACGGTGTATAATGGTCACGGTTAACGTTGTGAAGCGGTCACGGTTAACGGTGTGAAGCAGTCACGGTTAACGTTGTGTAACGGCTCGGTTTAAGGTGTGAAACGGTCGCGGTTAACGGTGTGTAATGGTCACGGTTAACGGTGTGAAACGGTCACGGTTAACGGTGTGTAACATCACGGTTAATGGTGTAATGGTCACGGTTAACGTAGTAACACGGGGTGTGCCGTACTGCTGGAGAGAATTGCTCAGGTTCTTCCCAAACTTCTAGAAATGTTTGTCAAAGTTAATGTTACATAGAAAGTAAAGGTAAGCGTATAAAATTGAACAATTCTTAGGACAGCTTGCATTGAAATACATGAGCTGCAGCAGTAATGGCGACATGTTTACTTGCGGTACTTCCCAAGGTTCGTGTATTATACACAACATCACGCTTATGTCACGCTACATTAAGGCCCAATGCGACACCGTTCTATGTGTTTGTCATCAGGCTTTAAAGCAGATGATCAGTAGTAACTCAGAGGATTACTAATATAGTGTTAACAATCTTTTTCCACAGGACGTGCAGAAATATGTCCCATCTATGAGGAGATACAGGATAGAGTCGTGTTCCAGCCGACAAATGGTGAGAAATGTTCCTTTTTTGTCTTTTTTAAAGACAGACAACTTCCTTTTTCTATTATGATCGAGGCTGAAATTGTACAGTGTTATTTTTATATATATATATATATATATATATATATATATATATATATATATATCCACACTGAACTTAACTATCTAAATCAAAAATATTCCATCTGCTTCATAAAAAACGTTTACCTTTTTCCTGAAGTGCATGTGCAAAGATAATAAAAAACACATACAAGGTTTATGGCCATGTTTAGATGTAAATGTTACTTTCTACTGTTTTATATCTTCATCCACAAAACTGCATTTACATGTTCATCTTTGACAGGCGGCGGGAGCTTGGCTAGAACAGCTTCATACTGCATGACAGATTTTCAAGGTAAATAATTACACATATTTTACCGACTACCCTTAAGAAAAGCTGACAAATGGGACTGTCTTAACGTGTTTTAATTTGGTAAATAATGTTTGTTGGTAAAACGTTTCAATAGATGGATCGCACCATAACGATCCCATGTACTCCACCATCCCTGATCTTCCACCAGTGGAGAAGAAAAGCAGTAAAGACTGAGCTCTCATCAGCATTTGACCAAATATTGTAGTTCCATACAGTAAATATTCATTATGTTTCATTTATTTCTCACAGAGACATCGCTACCTAATGACTCCACTTATTCCTTGATCGGCAACCCATTGAGTGGTGGAATGAATAAAGGTAACTTGAACACATAGGCGCTGTAGGTTTAGTGGTTCCAAGAGCCATTAAAGTATGAATCATGTATTCTATATTATCAAAATACTGAATGAGATGCAGATGGTAATTTACAGATTTAATTAAATTCTGAATTGTTTTCTCAATCTACAGGTTCGTCACAGCTCCCTGAAATCACATATTTTTTACTGTTGAAACCCAAAAAAGATGGAAACAACCCATTCAACCACAATCATCATTAAGTTCTCGGTATTGGCAGTCGAGATTAGAGGCCTTTACACACCGGGGTCCTGCTGCCGCCTTGGTTCGGACCAGGCAGCAATCTCCGGATCTAAAGAGAGAAGCCACTGCTTCATGTGTTAAAGCTGCATTCTCTCTAGTGTCCACCAGGGGGCGACTCCTCTGGTTGTATAGAAGTCTATGAGAAAATGACTCTACTTCTCTCTTGATTTATTACCTCAATAAACATTGTAAACATGAGTTTATGGTCTCAATCTCTAGTTTCAAGTCTTCTTCAATACAGCATGATGTTCATTTAGTACATTATGGTCCATTTAGAGTCAAACAGAGCATAAAGCAGGGGATGCTTTAGGGCGGGGCTACACGGTGATGGACAGGTCAACACCAGAGACGTATATGGCGTCTCTACGTCACTCCTCCTCAGTCCAGATATGGTCACTTCCTGTTCACTGGTTGCAAAAAACAAAGATGGTGACAGCCAAAATGCCGAACTCGAGGCTTCAAAACATCCACAAACCAACGAGAGACGTCATGACCACTACGTCCACTTATTATGTACAGTCTGTGGTTTGGACCACATCAAAGATGTTTTTTTGCTGTACAATAGTTTTGATCCTTTTGAAAGTATTTATTTAAAAAACATCAGTTTAAAAGAATTTAGACAACCAATGCGCACATAAAAAAGCCCCCGTTGTATAAACGCCTTCAAAAATGTCTCTTTATGAAAACATCTCATGAGACTGATTATATGTGCATTTAACTCAATGGATTGAACCCAAATCAGTTCAGTGATTCATTGAAGGTGTATATGGGCTTACTGGATGGTCCTGTGAAGTCCAGGTACTTGGTCCAGTTCTGGTTCTGGTGGCTTGAAAGCAAAGGCACGAAGGAAGACAGCAACTTTGACTAACTGGGGGAAGAGGCTGGTGTTTGTACAGCAGGGTTGATGAGGGAAATTGGAGACAGGTGAGCAGGTGAGAGAGGGTCAGGTGACTGGGACCAGTATAAGGTCTAAGGGCATCTGGTGGACAGGTGGAGGATGGCAGACATGTATTATATTTTGATGAACAATAAGAAAAATACTATGTAAATATTAACCACGTAATTTCCCCTAAACCACAGTATTTTCTAATCTATTATTAGATTAGAAATTATAGATTAGTATTATTCTAATCTGCTAATGTACTCTTTTTTATTTAAAAAGTTTGAAAGCTAGAACCAAATGTCAAAAAGACATAATTTTGTACGCTGTGCCGCTTCACCAAGACTCAAAGAGGTACCAGAATGTATGACAGCGTCCCGTATTATAAAGACATACAGAAATATATAAATATGGAAATAAGTAAATCAAATCATTTTTAAAAAGTGGGAAAAAAATGAAGAAACAGAAAATTATTTATTTACATATTTTTTGGTGAGAAATTCCATTCCTTTAGATGTTCATTTATGTATTTCCTGACACGTTTTTTTTCACTAATTAATTAATTTGTCAGGATATACTAAATAACCGCAGCTCTTGTGTTTGGTTTGTTTGTAGCCATTAAAACCTACGACTGCGTATTTGGGTCATTGTGGGTAAAAAAAACCTGAAGGACTGAGCCGGAGGAAGGGAAGGGGTTAATATTCTGAGAAAAAACTCAGAAGCTTTAAGATTAAAGTCGAATATTTATGAGAGAAGAAACTCACAAGTTAGCGAGAATCTTTTTTTAAATAATCTGATATTATAAAGCAAAGATTTACAGGAGAAAAACTCAAAAATACAACACACAACAGAGAAATACACACAAAGACCACCTAACGTACTGTTGATCAAGGTTCAGTTGGATCTTTAGTCATTTGAGTTATTGAAAATGTGATTTTGAAGGTTTGCTCACTTTCTCACTCATCTTTTCATGACTTCACACTGACCACTGTCTGAAGTGGTCACTACATCCTTCCCTATTTCTATTTTAGGTAAATGGAGTTAGACTCTGCTCTGTTTGTGTGTAACTTGTTCGTGTCACACTGCTTCCTGGATAAAGTTATATTTGTTGCAGGACAATAATGAAAGCTTGTGTTTGGACCGTTTCAGAAAGATCTTCAGTATCTGGAAAGTAGATGAAATTATGCTTTAATAATGAACTTTATGTCCTCTGGATTGAGTTGCACAGAAAAACACTTTAAAGACCTAAAATAACTTTATGTGCACACACGAGCCATCTTTTACTTCCTTTTACTTCCTTTATAGTTTGTACGTCTGTGGTTGAGATGCCTTCCTTACTGAAGGGCCCTATGAAGAGACTCACAATGATTACAAAACAACTACAAAGAGACTCACAATGATTACAAAACAACTACGAAGAGTCACAAAATTATTACAAAACAACTACAAAGAGACTCACAATGATTACAAAACAACTA